CCAGTTCCCAAAATAAAAAATTCTAAAAGATGCAGCGATATGAGACCAGTAAATGTGTTACCAGACATTGAAAAATTATTGAAGTCCATAGTGCATGACCAATTAATGCAGTTTATAGAAGAAAACAAAATTTTAGTGGAGGCGCAAGCCGGCTTTCGAAAAATATATTCCACAGAAACAGCTTTCCAGTTGGTAACTGAGAATTGGAGAAGAGCCATAGACGCAGAAGAAGTTGTCATAGCAGTATTTTTGGATTTGAAGAGCGCATTTGAAACGATTGATAGAGATATTTTGTTAGGTAAATTGAAGGCATATGGTATAACAGGAAGTGTTTTAGATTGGTTTAGAAATTATTTGTCTAAAAGGATGCAAGTTACAAAAGTTAATGACACTATTTCATCAAAAATTGAAAATACGTTGGGTGTTCCACAGGGCAGTATCCTGGGACCACTTCATTTTATTTTATACATAAATGATTTACCTGCCATAGTCAAAAAATGCAAAATTCAGATTTTCGCCGATGACACTATGATTTATATAAGTACTAAAAATATTCAGTCTGGTATCTCTTATATAAATGAAGACTTGAAGCTTGTCTCAAAATGGTTCGCATCTAACAGACTAAAATTAAATGCAAGTAAAACGAAAGCCTTGTTAATCAGAAAAAAACAATGTACAAATGTTCAACTGAATATTGATGGTGAAGATATTGAATTCGTAGAAAATTTTAAATACCTGGGGGTTTTTGTTGACTCTCGATTAATTTTTGATATTCATTATGAAAAAGTTATAAATAAGATTAGTAGTAAAGTGGGATATTTATCGGGAGTTTCTGGATGTCTGAGGTCATATAGCAGAAAAATTATCTATAATACCACCATTCTTCCAAATTTCTTGTACTGTTCGACTATTCTATATTTAGCAAATAATTCCATTTTTGAAAGACTGCAAATTTTACAAAATAAGTGCATGAGAATCTAAATAAAGATAAATATACTCCAATTAGGCAAATGCTTAGCAAATTAAAATGGCTCAATGTAAGAAATTTTATCAAATATCTTGTAATGATATTCATTTATAAAGTAAAAAATAATATATTTCCATCAAGTCTAAGTAATTTAACATCATCAAATCATCATTTACATAATACCAGAAATAAAGATGACTTCCATTTAATGACCAAAAAGTATAACATGCTACAAATCTGTATTCCATCAAGGGTTGATTGAATATAATAAATTATACTCGGAGATAAAAGACCAGAAAACTTTGACAAAATTTAAAGTAAAATTGAGAAATCACTTGTTAAATCTACAATTATAGGTTGCCCAGCATTTACATCATACACCATATGGCTTGAATTTACTAGTTCTAAGTTGTTTTCAATTATTCTGTTTATGTAGCCAAATGTGCTAAATAAATCTTTCTACTACTACTATAATTTGAAAAGTACGCGACACAGATTTTATATTTTTCTGATAGATATGACTTGGCCTATCCCCGTTTCCGGCTTGACGTCGACTTCTGGGACACCCTATATTCACACTTGTCTTTAGTTTGAACCTGTATCTGGAATCGGAACGGTTCTGGAATAGTTCCTTGTGGAACCCGAATACGTCTACCGACTGTCCAGGTCTAGTAGAAAATTCAGGTTTCATCCCACATTGCCGTCGGAGATCTGTTTTTTTTTTTAACGTAGGATATTAAAATAGATTGTACTGATATCGATAACACCAAGTGCGCTCCATGTTCCTAACTCCCCTCCCTCCCAGGACCAACTGCAAACTGCGGCCCCCGTGACAGGCGGAATGGGCATGCACCTCCTCCAGAAGATGGGCTGGAAACCCGGCGAGGGCTTAGGCAAAGAGAAGACCGGCACTCTGGAACCACTGTTACTCGACGTAAAGTTGGACAAACGTGGTCTGGTCAGCAGCGACGAGCAGCCCCAGAAGAAGAAGCAGAAGCTGAAGGGCCAGCCTGCTATCAAGACCCTACAGGGCAAGCATCCGGTGTCGCTGTTAGGGGAGTATGCGTCCAAGAGGAAGCTGGGCGCGCCCGAGTATGTACTGGACTTCGAGTGTGGGCCAGATCACAAGAAAAACTTCCTGTTCAAGGTAAATAGTATGTTCGGATTAGTTACATAAATAAGTATTTTTCTAGTTTACCTACCATTGTTAAGTCTGAGTTACAAATGAACTGCTGGAAATATATAACACCAGCCAGCAAGCCAAACAATTTACATTCTCCCAAATAACTTGCCACGATGTTATGGGATTTTTCCGGAGTATCAGAAGTAATGTCATGGTGTTGGCGACATCAACCTAAATATTCTAACAAACTTTTATCATCAACTATGGAATTGCATCATCAAACTTCCCCAACTGTTGGAAAAAAGCATATGTTTTCCCCCTAGCTAAAATAAGTAACCCTACAGATATTTCACATCTGAGGCCGATAAATATACTACCAGCATCTTCCAAGTTATTAGAACTAGCCATGAAACGTCAGGTGTCTACGTCTTCTCTAATGGTATCATTCCTGAAATCCAATCACGGGTGACTTAATCTGATTGTAGATCAAGGAAATTTAGCATGCTTAGTGTTACTTGATTATACAGGGTGCGGCAGAGAGGACGGACGTTTTTGGGATGGGTAGTACTCTCCGCCTCCGTCTACGAGAGAGGTGGGGAGGGTGCGGTTTGACTCGTGAGATCCTAGCATTATTTTACCAGTTGTCGTTATGGAGCCTTGGACGGTGGAGCACCGCGTTTTCGCCTATGATTGTTTCGTCCGAAATAATGAGTCAGTCATCGTCGTACAGCGTGAGTTTCGTCGCCACTTCAACATTTATCGGAATAGAGCTGTTCCCTCTCGAAACACTATCCTTCGTTGGGTTGAATCATTTCGCAGGCGTGGTGAACTGACCAACAGAAGACCAAGAGGAGCGCCGCGAACAGTTCGAACTCCTGAAAATGTTGAACGCGCTCGACAGGTCTTTATTCGCAGTCCGACTCGATCTGCCCGGAAACATGCTGCTGCACTTCGCCTTAGTGATCGTTCGGTAAGGCGAATTTTGAATATGGATCTCCGCTTTCACCCCTACAAATTGGCCATTTTGCAACAGTTACAGCCTGGAGATTATGCACAACGAATGAACTTCGCACGTGAGATGGAAGCACTGATCATTAGCCTCCTTGGTCCCCAGATTTATCCATATGCAATTTTTTCTTACGGGGACACCTCAAGGCTAGAATATACGCGAACAAGCCCCGAACTCTGGACGAATCGAATGGCGAAATTCGCGTGGAAGTCGCCCAAGTTGAGAGAGCGATGTTGAAGAGAGTCTACGCGAACTTCCAAGAACGTCTCTAGCACTGCATCAACGATTTCGGCCACCACATGCCTGATGTGATTTTCCACACTTGACTATCTCAAATACTATTTTCTTGTGAACCTGATTCCATCAATAAATTTGTTTTCGAGTAAAAATTAACTATTTTATGATTTTTTTAAACCGTCCATCCTCTCTGCCGCAACCTGTACAAAGGCGTTTGATACTCTGGAACCATCTATTCTTGAGAAAAAGCTTATATACTTTGGTTTTTCGCAATCTGCAATTAATTTTGTATTAAGTTATTTCACTGACAGGAGTCAGATGGTTGTGATTGGGTCAAGTATCTCGGAGGAGATACCAGTTAAACTAGGGGTACCACAGGGTTCCATTGTGGGACCATTATTGTTGTCAATTTACATTTCTGACTTCCACGAGTACGTTGAACACTGCAGTATTCATCACTATGCTGACGACACTCAATAGTAGTTTGGCTTTGATATTAAAGTTTTAAAAAATGCCGAACATAGCAAATAGAAGAGCTACAAAAAATGCACGTATTGACCTTGACCCGTAAAGTAATCACAACACAAGCCCCTCCATATCTATCAACCAAATTTATCAGATACTCAGATGTTAATCAACTGAACACAAAGAATAAACATATCTTTGTTATCCCGAGACATTCAACATATGTATTAAAAGGTCGTAGGTATATGCTATCAAGCTATACAGCGCGTTGCCTACCGAGTTCACTCACTACTCTATAACGAATTTCAAAAACAGATTGAAGCATTTTATCTCCGATTTAATTGCACAGTAAGTAGACCATGGCCATGAATAGGGACTCGTTACAGGTTTTTTAACTTTTTTGTTTTCATTGGGATTAGAAAATTTACACAAATGTTTGTTGGGCTAAGTTGAAAAACGCTTTTTAAGCGACACTTCGCCTTTTTATACTTCGTATAAATAAAGTCGGATTATTATTATTATATGGGGTCTCTCCCCGCTCTGTGCGCATATTTTATACTTTGCCCGGGGTGCACAAAGCTCTGAAGTCACCCATAGAAACTAATGATGTTTCCTAACTATGCACACAATTCAAAACAGTTATTTATTCGTTTTTTTTTCAGGTGGTTTTGAATGGTATTGAATATAAACCAAATGTAGCAAGTCAAAATAAGAAAGAGGCTAAAGCAGCAGCTGCGACGCTTTGTCTGCAGCAAATAGGCTTACTTCCTGTGGAGCCATCAACATGAAATGTTTTCATACAGTTTAAGGTGTTTTTGGATATCATGTTCCTTGATTTTTGTGCAAATAAATGTTAATTTTATACTAATTATTTTTCTATTTTATGTCCATTTGATTTTCTATTCTGTATTGTTGGCTTAGGTCACTTGACTAAAGGGATGATCACTATAAATGTTTTGAAGAGGCAACATCGAAAATTTTACCCAAATTCAAATCTAGCTTAGCTTTATAAAATATTAAAATACCTGACTAACCAGTAAGTACTTCAAAGTTCAGAACTCTCAAAACTAAAAATTTATTCCTACTGAATTTATTGGGCAAGAGGAAATAAAAAGTTCATGGTTTGTGAAATTTTATTAGATAGGGTGTAAACCAATAAATCTTAATTACAATAATTGAAAACCAAACAGACTCTCTTCCTAATCCTTTTCAGCAATTGCAGTCAGGTGTCTGTCAATCTCTTGCTCAGTCAGTTTCCTGAACTTATGATTATCTGCAGAAACAACACCTACTTCAATCTCTGTTGGTTTGAAATCAACTGATAGTACACTAGATAAACAGCTGATAGCAAGTTGGATAACATCATCATGTTGAAGATCCTGCTTTTTCTTCAATTTTTTCTCTAGATAGCTGTTAGCCTCAGTCTGTTTCGCACCTACACTCACTGCTCTGTAGCCACAATAGTAGCCTGCAGGTCTGCCTTGTAGAACACATGGTCCTAGCTCATCGTCGTAGCCAATCAAGACCATTGAACACCCCTAAAAAGTTATAAAGATCATAATTAAATCTCCAAATATAGGTAATAAAGTTATTGAGGGAAATTCCACAATTAAGGAGAAAAATTAAATGAAAAAAGTTAAGACTAAGTCTGTGTTAGGAGGACTGCAGTGATGAATGTAAAAAAATTTATATGTTATTTAGTTCTCATTTTCATATTCAAATTAAAAATTTATTTATTTCCACTACATTTAGTAAAACTTCACAAAATTAAATAGTAATTATCATAACTACAAAAAAAGGCAGTACAGATTTCATCTGTAAAATTGTAATATTAGCATAACTAGCAAATCTGTACTTCATGAGGGAGTAGTTGAATTTAATAAATTGGATAATGATATTAAACAGTTTGAATTCAAAATGCTTATGGTGAACTTGAAAAATCACTTTATGAATGCCCAAAATGCAGTGATGTAATTTTAATAGACAAAAACATAAAATTACAAATGTGAATAATCACACAAAAATTAACATTGCAGCAATGAACTGACTTATAATAGAAAATAAGCCCATGATTCAAACTCCAGGGCTAAATAGAGAAAAATATCTACCTAAATATCAGAAACAATGTAAGCCCATGAAAGACAAATTCCAGGGTTGAAATTTTTCTTCAAGATTTATGTAGGGTGATTGTAACAGCCCATTAGTAGGGATCAAAGGGATAAGACATTTATCTACCCATACAGCAAAGAATGAAAATTACAACCTGTGATTGAGAAATTCCAGGTTTGAAGAGAATGAGATATCTATCTAACAGGGCAACAAATAAAGAAGGTAAGAGTCCAAAAATGAGAACTGTGGAAAATTCTAAGAAATGGAGCAAGATACCTAATCCATAGACTATAGAACATCTAACCTAATCTACTTAGAAAGTATAGAAACATTTGATAATTTCCATTGTGAACAAATATTCTTTGATTTGGTTAGATTTTGAAAGGCACTAGAATCTCACCAGTCTCCCTTGGGCTTGTATTAAAAAAGCACACTCCATAGATTCATAAATAATATAAACTCTTGTCCTAGAAGCAAAACATATACAGGGTTGTCCAGAAAGTAGTAGGACTCATTTTCCTTCCGCCATGACTGTACTTTCGGATCGTGCGCGCACCGACTGGATTCGGTAGAGGGTGTTCCTAAGCTAACGAATGAGCGGCTGGTCAGTTAACTGCGAGCCACTTAGAGAGTCAGAACAGGCATTTTCGCGCGACGTGTTTCTGTGAGTGGTGCAAGCCGAAAATGCAGCGTTCGTTAGAGCCCCCCCCGGACTTTTTTTTGTTTCCTCGCTTGAAAAGGCAGATGAAGGCAAGCATTTTGAGACGACAGAGGTGATCCAAGCCGCATGCACCGCAGCTTTCAAGGCTATTCCGGAAAATGCCTGGAATGCTTGGAAATCGCGCTAGCAGCGCTGCATCTACGCAGAAGGAGCCTATTTTGAAAGTTTTAAAGAAATGTAACGATTGGCTCAATATTTTTTTTTAAATCGCTCAGTCCTATTACTTTCCGGACAAACCCTATATTAAAATAGTTACTTGCCTAGTGGTCTCATTTCAGCATTTTGTGTATAAAACCTGTGATATCTCAGCTACTCTCCTACACATTGTATCAATGGGCATTTCATATCCATATTTATACTTGAACTGAGCAGCTTCATATCTGGCTCTCTGGACCTGAGACTTGCTGTCCGCGATCATGCCAGTCATCACACAGCCAGAGTTATCAGTAAGTTGGAACAAATGGGTGATCGTTCCAGCATCTATGAGCTTGTCGGGGATCTCCTTTGGTGACACAGCAAGCCGGATCAACCCCTTTCACAGCCACTGAGGTTAGACCTGCTTGGTTTATAGCTTTAAAAGGCATATTCCACTTGGTACAACCTGCCTTCTGGCGAGAAGATAGTAATGTGCCTATCGAAACCTGCACTGCTTCCTCGCGACATGCTGAGCAATTTTAATGAATCTTGGAAGCCGAAAAGTTCAAATAAAACAGGATGATTTACAAATATTTACTTGGTCACTGTCTGTCAAATTTCATCAAAACCTCAAGTTTTTTTGACAGCTTGTCAACTAAAAATGTCAATTCTTGAAGTGTCGTCCTCTTCTTTTCTTAACTAGCAGTCCAGTTCTATATCATATGATGCACCCTGACGGCTTGTCAACTTTTCAGCTGTTTGTCACGCACATTTTGGGCATTCCAATAAAAATAAACAATGCTCAACTGAGTATCAGAAAGTGATAAGTGTTTCTCAGTGCTGTTCTCTATAAGAAAATGGGTATGATAGAAAAGTAATCAGCGTAAAATTTAATCAAGATCAAGGTAAGAAATCCTTGAAAAAAATATTTCAACACGGCAACCTTTTGTCTATTGTAGGATGTTTTACCTGTAGCATGGAAAGTGGAATACGCATTTACAATGTCGAACCGCTAGTAGAAAAAGCACACTATGGTATGATTGCAAAATGATAATTTTTTGGGAGACAGTTATTGTACTCATATTTCAGATGCAGACATGGTAGGAAGTGTCGCACAATGTGAAATGCTCTTTAGGACTAATTTATTGGCTATAGTCTCAGGTGGATCTCGTCCGAAATTTGCTGACAATGTTTTGACAATATTTGATGATCTAACAAAAAAATTTATTTTAGAAATATCATTTGCATCATCCATAAGAGCTGTTAAACTGAGAAAGGATAAGTAAGGTACTGTTTTTGATATTTCTAGTACTTACTGATATTTTTTTTTACAGAATAATTGTTGCTCTTTTGAATCAAATTCATGTCTTTTCATTTCCAACCCCAACACAGAGGCTATTTACATTAGAAACTAGGGAAAATCACAGAGGACTATGTGATGTTAGTCCTCTTACTTCTGCAGAAAAACAAATTTTGGTTTTCCCTGGCCACAAGCTTGGCAGTGTTCAGTTAGTGGTAAGTTGCAAAAATTATATTATACCAAGGATAAAGAAATCTCATCACCCCAAACTAAACTATCTATATGGTTTCAAAAGTTGACAACCTTCCTTACACAAAGGATATATAATATACATATGGAATGTGACTGTTGGCCCCTTTAATGTTGGTACCACTGTGACAGCTTTCCTTCCAACTACCTTGGGTCCCTGCAGGAACTTTTTAGAAAGGGCCCAAATAAAAGAATGCATGACTATGCTTCCAAAGAAATTTATCTTCTTATATTAACTATAAGATATACTAAGAAGTAAATAAACTTACCTTTGAGGATATATCTGGGAAAAACTGCAAAAAAATACACCAGACGCGTTTTTTTCTGATGCACAAAATAATTACTGTTTGAATGTGTGACTGTAATCCTACCAGATGAGACATACCTGATTTTTGACACCTCTGATAGTGCTATGTGACTATCAGGTATCAGGTGCAGAAGGCACTGTTGCCATTTTCATCATCTGTACCTGGTTTACAATACTTACAATATACTTGTGTAATTTAAGTGTAAACCATTAAAAATTTTAAATTAAATCTCTACTCTACATAAATGTTCATTCAATAATAATTAAAACTCACAAGCCATAAATATAAGTGTCTAGCCTGGTTCCAAAAACGTTAGGGAATCCCAAAAACTCTAGATCAGCATTATAATTCATGAGAGTCTTGTGATTTATAGTTTGGAAAATATTACCTGTTCAGCAAAAAAGTGCTTTTAGGACTTATCATGCACAGAAATAGGGATATCTAGCGCCCCAGTATGGATAGGGGCACACAAAAGTGAGCTAGGATGTTTAGCTCTAAATCAGCAGGGCACAAGATTAGCAACAGCTTCAAATAAGGGTACCCTCATAAGAGTGTGGGATACAACGACTAAAAATCAGCTGGTTGAACTTAGGAGAGGATCTGATTTAGCTACTTATATTGGTAAATTATAAAATGATTCATGTGTGATTTCTATTTTTATATTTTTCTTTTTTGTAGCATTAACTTTAGCAGAGATTCAGATTACTTATGTTGCTCAAGTGATAAAGGGACTGTTCACATATTTGCCATAAAGAATACAATTTAAATAAGAGGATTCTGTAAGTATTAGTTTTCATATGTACATGAAATACTTGATATTTCAAAATCACAAAAAGTCTCAAATTATTATATAATGTGTTTATCATGTTTTTAGGATACCAAGTGGTGGTGGAATATTAGGAAAGTATGGAGACTCACAATGGGCTTTAGCAAATTTTACAGTGCCACCAGAGTGTGCTTGTATTTGTGCTTTTGGGCCAAACAGTTCTGTTATAGGTAAATGTTACTTGAAAAACAAGACAAATTATTTTTCTAAGCAGGGTTCAATTTTTCAAAATTTAACAAAAGCATCAGTGCCATGAGTTCAATACAAAGGTTGCATCAACTAGTGTTCAGAGTCACTAAATATGGATGGTTGAGAAATGATGGGCATTGTTATAGTTAAAATGTTCATTAAGATTCACTTATATTTGTAGGGTACTGTAATGTAGACAGAAAAAATTTGTCTGAAGGTTGAGAGAAGTGGGTATAACAACATATAGTTGAAAGAGCCAGAGGGTGGCTGGATAGTGAAGCAGTCTGCCGCATAGTTTATTCTCTATATTCTTGAGTGTGATTTGTGTTTAATCTGTTTAGGATCGATTCCGGGTCATATACATTGCACTCAACCTGTCAGACAAATTTGGTTTTCCCTGTATATTGAGTCTATTGAAATAAGACAGCGCAGAACGCCATCTATTACCAGAATCAATCAGTGCTAGAGCAGTTATCAGTTAGAACTGAAAAGATCTCAGTTCAGTTTTGATAGTAGTAGTAGATGTGGCCTGCTTGACTTTGAGCACATTTAATATAACTACTGATCAATGTTAAAAATAGACTGGGAAACTGAATAAAGGTCACATGTATTTTTTTAGCTATCTGTTTGTATGGTACCTTCCACAAATATGTCTTTACATCTGATGGTATCTGCAATAGAGAAGCTTAGATGTCTATCTAGATGTCTGTGAGATGAAGATTACTTACAATAATTTTAGGTCAGAAGACACATATATTGAATGTGTGGAGTCAGCATTGTGGTAAATTAGTCAAATAAGGATAATGTAATTTTTTACTATCATATCTCATAGTAAAGGGATAAGCGTTTGTAATATGTGCTATACTTTAACTATATTTAATCAGTGTGTAATTTTTTTATGAGAAAAATTACCATTATTTTCTCAGTTACTCTGCAGAAGTGTTTATTGTGACTAGGTAAACTGAATTTTTGAATGAAATCTTTATGTTACGATGATAGTTGTATCATTTCAGATAAAGTGATTTTATATTAATGGTGCTAAACATATTTAAATTATAGAGGTACTTTTATTTTTTTAAATAAAACTATAAACAAACATGTTCTCAATTACATAAATTCCCCATATAAATGTTCAACTGGTTCGACGCTCATGTGGATCATATTGTTTCATCTGAGCCTTAGCAACCTCCTGTACCCTTTCTACAAAGAAATGTTAAGAATCTTCAAAGCAGAATCATAAAATTCAACTTACTATATTGTCAGGGTTCAACATTGGATCGATATTATAGGATAAACTGTAATGGCTATAGCCCCAAATAGTCCACCTATTAACGCAGCATACCTCCAGCCTTTCAAAACAGCCATTTTCAGCACATGAACTGAAAAATTTTAAATGTTTTGAATTTTCTTACGTAGTGAGGTTAGGCTGTACTGTATCCAATTTGACATTGGCACAGTGATTACATAAAATGTTCACGATTTCGATACGAAACGAGTCGGTGCATTATAGTCCAGTCCACAATTACATTAA